TCTCAGATTTTACTTTATTAAACCTTCTTATTTTTTTTAATTTTCAATAGGAATTTCATATCGAAAGAAAGTTTTTCGAAATTTAAAATTCTTTCCTTTATTTGAGATAGTAATTTGGGCGAATTTCAATCAAATGGAGAAAGGCTTAATGTGGAATATTTAATGCCAGTGAACTCGATTTAAAATCTTTTGAATTTTTTAATAAATTTTATAAATTTGCAATCTAATTACTCTTTCTTTTATAATGAAACGTAAACGGATGTTAAGAATTAAAAGAGTTTCTAAATGAGAAGTCATGACAAAATTTACTACTTTCATTCAGTTGGTCGATTTATATTGTGGTTTTGCTTAATTAGCGTAGGAAAATTTTAAATATATCCTAAATATCTCCTAAATGAAACAATCCGGATTGATAACAAATGAAATGCAATAGAATAATGAATTGGATCAATATTATTATTATTACTACTATTATTATTTTCACATTTAATTATGCGAATGAGAGTGAGAGATGGCGAGCAATTGAACGTGCAAAATGTGGAGGAAAAATTCATTAATCACTGTCACTTCTAAATGCGTCATATTTATAGCAATTATTTTTGTGCTTATTGATTAGCAGTTTGACGAAAATAATAGACCTTGAAAACCCAATCCATTAATAGTTTCAGTCATGATGATTCACCCAGATTATTATTAAATGCCTAATTCACTGTAACAATGAAAATTACAAAAAATCTAGAATTAAACTTATTGTGCATGCCAGAAGTGTTAAAGTTAGCTGTTTATTACTTAAATTCGGTGTCATAACTATTCAAAAATGAAAAAGTATTAACTGACTCATTTAAACAACAAAGTACATACAATCGTAGACACGTGATTAGAGGGGTGTATAAGAATAGATAGTGCAAGTACAACATTTCTTAGTAAAACTCTTGAGGCGATGGGGGATTCGTTAAACAAATTAAGAGAATAGGTGAGAGGGAGATAGCAAGCAAGCCAGAGAGCACATTTAAAAATCAGACATTTCATAAATAAATCATTTGTGCTCTTAAATTCCCCCTGTGCGCAGTTGCCTCTCCGTCACGCACGTTGACCAGTTAGAAAGAGGTCGTGTGGATTTTGCTAGCGGTGATTGGATCCTCAGAAGCGTGTGCAAAATGCGTTCAAAATCTAAATTACCCCATTTCTCAATCTCCTCTCTTACCGTTTTTTTGGATTTACGTTCTTCTCCGTCATTGCAACAGCAACTGATACTGAAGTTTAAGCCAATAACGTCAAAAGCACAATAGTGCACTTACTCAAGTAATGAAGTGTTGCCAACGCTCAATTTGAAAACTGATGCACAATTAACCTGTGAGCTCAAATTTGTCCAAAGCGTTATACTTACAAAGCCAGGTAATTAATAACGCTTTATTATTTTATTTTCCATAAAAGACACAAGATTTTGATGGTCCAAAAATATAAAATTAAATAGTTTATTTCTACATGGTACAGATGATTTTACTTGCTATTTTTTTAAATCTGATGTATAAAATTTAAATGAATTATACACTAAAATTTAATACCCCTTCAAAATTGTCACAATATTTCAAATTTGGATGCAAATAAGACAGAATAATCTCGATTTCTCTCTATTTTTAAAATTATTAAATTTAAGTGTTTCATTTAAGGACTAATTTGTGCATATGCATATATTTTTTTAATTAGACATTCCGACGGCTGATAATGCCCAAAAATTAATTATTCATTCATAGATAAGTCAGGTGGAAGGATTTAATATCCGAAAATTTAAAGCATTGACATATTTAATTTGTAAAAACTCATTTAAAAAATGCATATTTTGAGCTTATTATTTTATTTGCTTAAATATACTAGAATGAATATTATTTCAATAGAACGTTAACTTAAATAGTACGTTATTATTCACACTAAAATGATGGAAATTATGCTTTCTTTCTTCGACTAGTCAAATATCTAATTTTGAATCTCCTGTAGGCGTAAAATAATCGTTATTATCCATTTTACATATGCTTTAAACTGTGACAATGTGTTTGCATAAAAATTTCAGAAACGATTATGTCTAATATTTTAATGATACGATGAACTCTTGTATTTGATATTATATATGTTCTTAACTAAGAAAGCTTCTAAGCACTGTAGCGATACAAAAAAGAAAGCAGACTTTGTAGAAGCTCAGAGTAAATAGACATCACATCACTTCAATCCGCTTAAGATAGATAATTACCATTTGGTTGAATCGTTACCTTCTTAAATTGGTATTTCAGCAATTTCAAAAGATTTGAAATTCTAGCATTCCAAACATTGTAATTGCATGGCTTGAAATGAATGAAGCTCTGTGCACCCTATTCATAATGTTGTATTATTTAGAAAACATCAGTTAATTATGATTGAAGGCTTAGAACTGAACCATACTTAATCAATAAACAAATTGACTGACTTTTATATCATATATAATTTTTTTTGTTTACTTGAAAACTTTGACTTTTTACTCAAATTTTATTTCCTGCAAAATCTCTCAACTGTAATTTTTGAATGATCTTCCACAGCTTCGCTTCACCATTTAATGAGACAATTAATTACTTCCATGAGCTAATTTAACTGGTGTTAAAAAGCTAGTTGGAATTAATAAAAACTGACAACTTCCTTGAGCTTTGCAGTAGTCTAGTTAATGTATTTTTAATAATTAGATTGACTGTTGATACATCAATTGCTGATTATCCATTCAAAAAAATAATTTTATTATTTTATTATTTCAAATAAATATTATCAACATGAAATCAAATGATACAAGCTTATATTTTAAATATAAATGCATGTTGTGCTAAAATACCTAAGTTATACCTGTTTTGAAAATTTTGAAAATAAATTTATTCTTGCAAAATGAACATTTTCTTAAGGAAAGTGTAAAGCGGCACTGTGAAAAATTGCAGAAATCAATTAATACCTAGCACTGCTAAATATCAGTCTACTATCCATGTTCTTTTCAATTCCTTCTTATACTTATAAATTTATTTTGGTGAAACGGATTTCAGAATTAATCTATTAGACATTAATTTAAATTTGTATAAATTTTATACACAGCTCGTAATCGTTGTAATAACGTTAAAAATCACTAAGATAGACTGCATGTTCGTTATACACACATCGGTCTGCCCAAAATTTCGTTAATTTTATTAATCATTAATTTAATTATTTATAGTGAGGGAGTGAGATTAGATTATTTAAAGTTATAATTTTGGATTTATAGGCTGGTTTGCTGAAACGATAGCTCACTTTAGACAGTTTGATTTTCTAAACGTGTTTTATTGATAATGCAAGTACGTCCGTAAGGCTTGCTGCGTTCCTTGGAAATTAAAGCTTGGGGTTTTAAAATAACCTAGTCTGTAATTACGAAAGTTTTAATCCACGATAAAGTGATGATGTATATTTCATTGAGGATTTATTCTCCATTACAACATTTAAAGACCTCTTCTATATGTTTAAAGATTTACAAAAAACTAATGAATGCGTCGAATTAGATTCAAATATTTTAAAGCTTTGCGCTTTCTACATGAAAAAAACTTATATTTCTACAAAATGTGACATATTCGGACTCAAACTTATTGTTGGAATTTTATGAAGTTACTATCTTCTTCTCAAAGTACGTCCAAAAGGTTTTTCTTATAAAATCTAATTTTGTTCACTTATTGCACCTTTTTAAATATTTACTTAACCTGATCACGGGATTTCGGTTTATTTGTCGATTCTTAAGGTTATAACGTAATTTGACAAGTTGTATTTGAAAATGTCATTTACTATTCATGATATGAATATAATGGCTCGTTGAAGAAATATGTAGATCAAATAAAATGAATCAAACAGGAATATTTCAAGATAATGAATTTATGCAATACCACAAAAGATCTCATTAGTTTAATAAGTTTCGTTCTTTCTGTATTAGCTTCTAAAATTTTTTGAGGAAAAATGAATCTCAAAAAAATTTTCAGTAAATTCTCAATTTTTAAGCTTTTATGATTCTTCCCCATCTAATCTGGGATATAAAGCACATGACGGAATTACATAAATAATTAATAGGTCAAATCTTACAGAAGGTTAATTACTAATGGGTTTTATTTAAATAAAATTATTCAATTTCCAACCATTGCCCTTATTCACAAGGATAAAATATTTCATATTTCCTTGATATCTAATTTGTGATATAAAAAGCGGACTTTTCTTAGCATGTCTCATGAGCTATGGCACAAATAAATCAGACAGAAAGAGGAGAAGCTGCATCAAGGGAGAAAAAGGATAGCTTCTTACGCAAATGCAATTAAAATAAGTTTATAATTATGCTTCGACGCCATCGATTACTTCCCAGGCTTATTTTTGCCATTAATCCATTTAGCAGTAAATGACCTTCTATCGGTACTCCTATAAAGCGTTTATTTAAACAAACTTCTGAAATTTTAATGCATAGTGAATGTATTTGAACTCCTGATTATTTATTTAACAAAGGAGTTTAATGCTTGAGGTTTATGAAAGCAGATAAAAGCTTTATTTGAAATTGGGCAAAAGAGAGTAAATAACAGAATTCTCCATTGACAAATAAATAAATATTTAATGGTTATAAAAGCTTCCTGTCATAATGCAAGTTTTAAATTTTTGGGCTATTAATTTTTTCTTATAGTTTCAGTTCATTCTAGTGTAGAATTATTGTATAATTCAGTCAATGTTAATCAAAAGACGCCATATTGCCTTATTAAAAATTTTTTTCTATTGCAAAATATGAATCGAGACAATTAGATAAATAAGTTAATTCACAAAAGCTTTTTATTTTTCATCAAACTATTTACCTTTACATTTTATATCTTAAAAAATACTTATTAAAACATAACGAAGTGGCTATTTGTGCTTGCACAGCGGTAAAAAGATGTGCCTAGAAATCAATGAATTAATGTAATAACAAATTTTAAATCCTCTCGCCTTGTAGGACGAGCATGCAGAATAGGAAAGGAGCACTTTCGGGAATTTGCGAGCACTTGCTTTATTTCCTCTCCTACACCGTATTTGTCCTATTTCTGCCAGTGTCCGTTTTTGTCTGCCTCAAGGTGAGTTTGATTACTCACCTCTCTTGTCGGTTAGAAAATGTCCTTTTGCTCTGCAAATATATATATATATATATATATATACAAAGTAGATTAAAATTATAATTTTTTAGATTTTCATAGTAAACTAACACATAAGTTTTAAAGCTGCAAAAGCTCTGAGAGGAGGTTATTTTGCCTTTCTATATTTTGACATGCTTTTTCACTATTAATTACTCTTTGAGAGCTATATTCATGGGAAAAATTTCTCATTTTTTTTCCATTGAGCTGCCTTGAATTTGGAACAACTTGATTCGGCAGCGCAAGGAAATAGAAGATTGGTACATTAAAAGATTTCTATTTACACGCTCATCGTAACCAACTTGAAGATTTTAGTCCAATAAATTAAGTTGAGCGAGCAGACAATTAGCAATCTTTGAATTTCAACCTTTCATCTTTACAACTTATAAATATATCTATGCGCAGAAAGACCATCTTTCAGCTATTGGCGATGAAGGAAACTTGATCTTCATACAGGGTTGCTTAACATCATCCTTAATTATTATTATTATTATTAAAACAACGTCTCACATAAAGCTATTAGTAAGCAGATTTTGCATAATAAAATTCTTATTAAATCAGATAATATCTGGCGAGATTGTTCAAGTTACAATAAAAACAGAAGCTGTTTTATTTAAGAAAACTGATTTTGCATGTTTATTGTTCATGGAAAGCTATCATCTTCAATATGCAATTCAAAAAATAAAACATGGGCATGTGAATAGAAAAAAAATGAATTTAAGGTTCTCCATAAAATAAACAAATATTTGAATTTTACAAAATTTTAATGTTGAAGTAATAAGAATATAGGAGAAAAGGCCTGTGTAAATGCGTGCTAAATAGTTTGTGTTTAAGTGTTGGTGTAATACGCTTCAAGATGCGAATAACGTTGCGTCGAAATAGTACTGAAATGAAATTTTGTACTTACCGGGCATTAGTCGAATTCAATGACCAATTATTTGGATTATTGAGCAGTAGTAACTGTGTCCTTGAGGTAATTAGCCATAAAATTTCCCCGTTGGATACAATCTATACAAGTACAAATTGACGGTACAATAATTTTTAACACTTCCGTAGGCAGATATATAACTAAAAAATTATAGGCCCAAACGATTTCTTTCAAAACTATTCAGAAAAGAGGGACAACCTCTGAAAGGTTGCAAAATATGTAAACTTATTTCGTTTTACCTATTTTTAAAAGTTTTTGTTATAATAGTTATAGATTTTGGCTGTTATTTCATTCGGCAAAAATGAATGCATCATAGTGTTCATTGGAATACTTCGACTCAATTTGTGCCAGATAAAAAAAATAACATATGGGATTGAAATTTTTTATAGAAAATAGAGCTGTCTATTTTGTTAGCCCTCCCCCCCCAACTATTGTATAATAATAGTTTTCACGAAAAAAAACAATTTTGAGACGTAAACAGAGAAAATATCTTCATTTATTACAGGTTGTGCAAGAGTATGAACGGGCTGTAATTTTTCGGCTCGGAAGGGTTATACCCGGAAGTATGAAAGGACCGGGTAAGTTGTTTTTGAAAATAACCTTTCCCCCCCAAAATAATCTGAAGATTACGACCTTCTTAAATATTCAAAATGTGATTAAGGTTGGTTATTTTTTGGACAGTTTAATGAGGCTTAAGGGAAGACAAATGATTGGCAACATAGACCAAAGCCCCTAAACTACGTGATATAATTTACGTTTAAGTAAAACAAATACTTTGAAGCTGCTAAAGAGAATGGAGCATAGAGCAGAAGACTAACCAAGCAGACGGATCATAAAAATAATGCCATTATAAGTCACACATAAAATTTTAAGTTTTTTAATTTTTAGGGCAAATATTTTTCCAATAATCCACCCTGAATGAATGTTACACCCTTCAAAATAATTAAACCTATTGTTATCCAAAATGCATGGGCTAATTTAAAAAAGTGCTTGTTTCTTTAATCACACAAATACATATTCATTTTGAAAGTTGAGATTTCTTGCCTATTCAACTTTCAGTAGAATTCAAGTATGGCTTAATCTACTGCAATTTGAGTTTTATTAAATTAGGTATGCATTTAATTTTAATTAGTAATAAGATTTCATTAACTATAAGTGAGCATCCTAGTTTCAAGTTTATTTTACTCCCTAAAAATCGTGATCAGATATTCAATAAGCTTAATTAAACGCTGATAATTAATTTCCCTTTAATTGCCAAGCAGCCCCCTGAGACTTTCATGGGAATAATTAATTTCTGTTTTGTTTCATAATTTCCAGGGATATTTTTGTGTCTACCGTGCGTCGAAGAGTGCTTTATGGTCGATCTTCGTACAATCACATTTGATATTCCACCTCAAGAAGTAAGAACTTTGACCGAAATATAATATAATGATATCTTGAATTAATTGGAAAATGATTATTTACGTTTTGACAACAATGCCAGTAGAAAACATTGAATTTGAGCCGTGAATAAAGTTGAAATAGGAGAATTAACAAAGATATTTGATAAAAAAATTATATGTAGTGTGAATTATGAAAATGGGATATTGAAAAAGAGATCAAGAGACTTTTTGCAATTGAAACCACAGATTCTCCACCCAAGGAAGAACAAAAGGTAATTCACATGACTCAATACGACTGTACTCTATTTAACCAAATAGACCTACTCAAATAGGCCTGGATATGCGATAAATAAATAATCGCCTAGTTAACCAATGCGTAGAGTGATAGTTGTTTTTGAGGTGGCGGTATATACCCTGGATGTGAACGTGAGAATTCAATTATATATAAACCAGACAAAGATTTTGAGTACTACCTAAGACCAACGAAAATATTTCATTAGATTTCCTAGCAATACTTTATATCCATTTTGATAATATTAAGTTAACCAAGTTCATAGTTATAATTCATGTTCTATTTTTCAAGATTACTTATTTTACTTTCATTTAATTGGCTGATATAACTTCCACTATATTCCAAACTTGAAGACCAAATGATTTACTTAGCCAATCAATCATTTAGGAACAAGTGGCTGCAACTTGACAAATTTCTAGTAAAAAATTAGGGAAACAATATTATTTTGGAAAATGCATTCTGCAAAACCGGATTTAAAGAAAACTGGCCTTATGTTTGAATAAGCATTGTTGTCTTTTCAGCATTAAGTATATTAAATAATTGAAATAATGTGATAAAAAATTGGCGCTTACGCTTAAACAAACGAAAAAATATTATCAATTCATAAAATTCACATTTTTTTTGAGATCCAGTGAATATGAATTTTATTGCTTTGCAGAATTTTGAGGAAATTGGGAATGTTTATTTAATCTCGTGTTATTATGAGTTTAGAGAGCTGTGTCTATTTGCAGAAGCCAAATAGGTGATAACAAGTGGGGAACGCTGACAATTTCTACAAAGGATAAATTAAAAATGTCCACCCCGGTTTCTTAAACCCAGTTAATTATTCAATGCCTTACATAATGTTCCAAAGCTTACCAACAGAAACAGTGGCTCTTCCCGCAAAATTAAAAGGACACAGCGATATTGGTAGCAAAACTGCTGCTATTGATTTTTTTATTTTAATACTAAGAAGTATCTCCACATTACCTATTGTGCAATTATGCTTATTTTGCTTTCTTCTGGGGCTCATGCTGAGTCAGTCAATGATGTCAAAATCCTTTCCAGAACGAATTACTTCCTGCTAGATCATCAGGTAAATAAAGTGCAAATGGTGGTAAAGAAAGTCGCTGCAACTTGTCACCCCCTGTCTCTCAGAACGATCGCATCCTCCATTCTGCTTAAGTGGTATAAATTTCTTAACCAATGCAACAGCAATGAAGCTAAACTAAAGCTCGTCGCCTTTCTGATCGGTTTCGACTGGTGAATTGAAATACTAAGGATCGGAGGAAAGTTGTCCTGTCAAATCTCTCTCATGTTCAAATGAGAGATGACAAAGCGCTTGTACAAAATGTTGTTAACTCATCAAAGGATACCTGCTTATTTAGTCTTACTCATATTTGACTCATATTCGAAGTGAATCAAAATGATTAAGTCCAAAGTTAATAGTAAAATATGGATTACTTGACTGTGAGGAAACTTTCATGTCTGCCTAATTGAAATGAAATTTCTAATTCAAACCTTAATCAGAAATCAATATAATTATTTTGAATTTAATTAGTTCTTTTCTTAATATAAGTATTATGATATTTAAACGCTTATCGAAGAATGAATTATGAAGAAAAGTGTGCAATCTCATTCGCGTTTCGTGAGGTTGACGTCCCAAAAGGCCTTTAATTAGATTTGAATTCCTTTGCATCCATATTCTTCATCCTCATTTTCTGCTGGGAGCAACTAAGTGGATAGTAGATTAGGGAGAATTTATTCTTCAATTAATTTAGCTTGGCATAGTTAAACATACTAAGAGATATCAATTATTTATAAAAATATGTACATATATATATACGCATATGAAATATTCAATCAATTGCATTTAGATTCTGACCAAAGATTCAGTGACTGTGTCTGTGGATGCAGTGATTTATTATAAAGTTTTCGACGCAATGATTTCAGTCGCAAATGTGGAGAACGCACATCATTCGACCCGACTTCTGGCTCAAACCACCCTGCGCAATGTTCTTGGCACGAAAAGACTGTCAGAAATCCTCTCCGAACGAGATGTTATTAGCGCATCAATGCAGGTAAGCCCAAAGCTACCTTTTAAATTGAAATAATTAATAGCGTGAATTGCGCTAACAAAATTTCAATATATTTGAAATAATTAAATTTTGCCGAAACAAGATTGTATGAGCATTTGTGTGAGTTAAAAACTTCCTAGTTTCTAACGGTAATAAAGTGGATAATTGAACAAAAAATTAAGCTTTTATTTCTTTTATAGTTAACCAATTTCCGCGGAAAGGCGTTAGAAAATTTCAATGGTTATATTTACTGAAAAACTTAATTTGACGGAATTAACGCCTTCAAATTACACGCTTTTTCAGTCGGTCAGCTCTGAGTTCAGACCACCGTGATCATGCTACCGATATTTTAAAAGTTCGAATGCTATTTAATTGGACTTGACATTTCCAATTTTCAAATTTGTCGAATTAAATCGTTGTTCACATTTCTTTCACAAAGGATGCTTTTAGAATTAAGCTACCCAAGTGCCTATCTTTGGGAAATCCATCATACTTCGCTCAAAGAAGAAGGAGACCGCCTCCCCTGAGTCCTTTTATTTAAGAGCTCCAGTAAAATCAAAACAAATCAAAGGGACTCTAATGAAGGACATGCATATGACAACATTAACAGAACGTGGTGGCACGCCTTAAACAGTCAAGAATGTCTATTGAAGTTCTGATGGCCATAAATTTTAGATAAATGGGAAGATTAACTATTCCTTGGTCACAATGTTTAACGACGACTTTCAAAACTTTCTCATTTAGACTATCTTAAGTTGTAAATAGATAGGTTGGGTTCAAAAACCATGGAAAAGATTTCTTTCAAAACAGTTGGCTTCATATTTCAGTAGAATATTTGACGGTTTGATAGCAAAAATTCCAAGGTTTAGACAATTATTGTATTTAATTTTAGTGTTTTTTAAAAATGAGATATTTGTTCGGAAAGATTATATTCATGTGACGATTTTGTGACAAGTAGAGCTTTTTATTCACCATGGTAAGTAAACTTGAATTCAAAAATATTATTAGAAATTTTGTATCAAGCATAAATTAGAAGAATGGTTGCTACGATAGTGCATTCAGCACATTCTTTGCGTAAAATTTATGAAACCTGATTTTTTTATATATCAGAGTTTGACAACTGTTGGTCCCTTCTCACATGCTTGTCTCATTTTTCCAATTCCTTCACATTGAGATTCGTCTGGAATTTTTGAATAACAATCCATACTGATTTTGACGATTGTGTCTTTTCCTTGTTCCCTCCAATTTAATTATTTTTGGGGAAGCCATATAATTGAATATATACTAAATATCACAAATCATTTATATTCCTTTTTTTCTGTTTTTTCCAATGAGAGCTTTGCCTTCAATAGATATACTTGATTATTCTTCCATTTACGTTGCAATCATCCATTTTTTTATGTACAAACCAACCCTCGATATCTTGTTGAATATCCGAATAATAATAAAGATTTCTCTCTGCATTTATTAACTTTTCCACCTTAGCCAATAGAATGTTTATTTCGTGCCGCGCGCTGAATTTTAACTTCAATACTGCCCTCGGTTGGCGGAGATTTATTACAAGTCATAAAACTGTAAATATATCCTGATAATATCAGAACGCAGAGCTGTTAACTAGCCTTCGACTACGCAGATCTGCGAAGTATTTTTTTTCTGCCTACTGGATAAAAAATCTAAAATAACATGCTTAATTTTTTTACATTTTTTTAGAGCGTGCTAGATGATGCAACGGAGGCTTGGGGTATCAAGGTTGAACGAGTTGAAATGTAAGCTCATTAATGATTTATTAACGAGAAAAAATATGAATTAAATTAAATAATAAAGTCTAAATATTCATTTTGTTCGACATATTTAAACTAAGAGTGGGCATATTTATTTATACTTGGTAGGACTTTATGAATTAGAAATTTATTTAATCTACAGACGATATGTGCAGTTGAAGTGTGCCCACAGTTTTACCTGGTTCCATTCCATAATTGCATTCCTATTCTTCAAATATTCATGTGCTTAACATAAACCTTAGTGCTTCCAATAGTTATTGGCGCAATTCATCTGTGCTGGTGATCCCATTCGATTTCTGGGGGCCCTTGGTCACACATTTGGTGAACTTTCCTTATTTTTTCCTATTAAAGAAACCTGCTACCAAGTGTTTTACGTTCAAATCTTCAATAACCGAGGTCGTGCATACTAAAAGTAGAAAATTATTCATTATTGCAATATCACAGCTTGTCTAAATTGGTGATCAGATTGTACCTGTTGTCCTATCTACACGCGTATAGACAGATTATAATCAAAAGGTAACGCACAGGGCAGAATATTCACTTCAACTATCGGAGTGGCTTTGAAATTTCAATAAGTGTTTGAAAGAATTAATTTGCCGACGCAAGAGGTAAGAGGAATGGTTGAAAGGCTAAATTCCTCTTCACACTTCTGCTGTTTCCGACACGCGCATGCGGCTTAAGTCAGTACCACTCGAAAAGGGAGTAATGAAGTCTGTGGTTCTCTTCCGCATTTTCTAACTTTGAAATTTAAGTGAAATTCTTTTTCACATTAAAGAAAATCAATACTTATTAAAAATTTAATTTAACCCATTTTGAAAGGGTTATTAAGGAGGATTAATTGGATTTTTCACACTTCTGAAAAATTCGAGTAATTTCCAGCATTTTTATTAGATTTAATGACGTAAAAGACGTTGGCAATATTAAGTGGGCTTAAGATTATAATCTAATATACTTTTAATAGAAGTTAAAATTACCAAGCTATTTTTTTCATTTTAAACAATGAATGAAATTAAAAAGGGTGTGATCAAACTAATTAGTTCATTTGTGATTAAAAATTTAAAGGACTTCACTCATATCTATATGCATTCAATAAGAGTAATTTGCTAAGTAATTTATTCGATTAGCATATTTAAATCATATAAATTTCATAAATTTGGCTCAAAGGCTAACCTTTCAACAAGAATCGTGTTGAGTAGACAAGAAAAATTGTCATCATTAATTTCATCAATATGAGGCTTGTTTGGGAAATGATAACTAATTCTGTTTTGCTTTTATTTTCAATTTAGAAAAGACGTGCGTCTTCCGGTGCAGTTGCAACGAGCGATGGCTGCAGAGGCCGAGGCTACAAGAGAAGCTCGTGCCAAGGTCGGTTACTTCCTTTATGTCCACGGGGAAACCAATTAGCGCATTTATCATTGTAATTTGATTAAAGGAGCTAGCACTGACGCTTATTATAAAAAAATAATTTCAATGGCTTCGCTTTAATTACAGCAGGCTCCTAGTAATTCAGTGCAAGTGAAATTATTATATTGTCTAGCATGCAAACATTCAAATTCAAAGACATGTACTTTGTACCTTACATTTTCACTATTTTCAGTACTTGAAAATTCGTTTCGAAAACGATTTTCTCAGACATAATGAATTGCATCTATTAAGTCCATTCTGCAGAAGAAGGGGCCAAAAAACTCAAGAGTTGAATAAGATACCACTTTTGTTGAAGTAAATCACCTCCATCCGTGACTGCCTCCTCTTTGAGCAACTTTAACTAACTCAAGTAGACATTTAGACTGAAACCTTAACAATAATGCAAGTTCATGTAAGTAGACATACTAGAACACATCCGTTTCATTTTCTCTCACACATGTGAGGTCCTAATTTAACAGCAGGTTATGAAATGAAACACACACACACACACACTACCACATCAATTCTCCTAGCACCTAGCAGTTCACAAGCTTAAAATGCTAATATTTGCATCTAGAAGCATTGTTGGATGAATAACGAAGGAATAATGTGCATTGATCAAACTAATTTAGGTAATTCAAGCGGAAGGTGAGAAGAAGGCATCACACGCTCTTAGAGAAGCCAGTCAAATGCTGAACGACAAGCCAGTAGCCCTGCAACTACGATACTTACAAACCCTTTCCGGTATCGCAGCAGAACACCACTCAACTATCATATTCCCTCTTCCAATTGATATGACCACCAACTTTTTAATGAGCGGTTCCCACAATCCAATGAGCAATGTGTTGAGAAATATCCCAAATGGTGTCAAAATGTGACAGGCGGAACTGTCGCAGAGACAAACGAAAGCTCCAACTTTTAATGACATTTATAATAGTAAAAACGCTGTTGGCAGTTTCCCGAACTAAATGTATAGCTCTAAGTGGTACTCTGTACATTTCCCGATATGTCCTCATATTTCCTTTCCTATGTTTACTTTCAATTGTTAACATTTATGTTGTTTGTCCAGCTAATTTCGTCTACATTTGAATTTTTAAGTATATTATTGGATAAGACCGTATTACAGATCAGTTATCAAATTCAGTGTTATAGATCTGCGTAACATGAATAATATTTAAGGACTAAACAATCGCTCAGTGACAAAGGAAGAAGTAATTTGGGCCATTGTTTTGAAATGGACAAAAGGTTATAAAATTAGAAGAAAATATATGCTATAAGTTGTCTGCATGCTATTCATGAAGACGTATAGTTCAGTGTAATACAGCTGCCATTACCAAAATAAGTGGAATATAGAGATATTTTACTTAAAAAAGGTCTGCCGTACTGCTCCTTTTGTGTTTCAACTAGTACTCAAAGAGTTTTATTTTGATTGAGATTAATTTTCAAGACATTTGGAGGGGAATTGCACTGATTTTTACGAACAAGACTTTTATATTCTAGTTGCTTTCAAGGTCAAGTATTTTGAACTCCAGCTCAACTCTGTTTAATATCTGAATTAATCCTACCCCTGAAATGGTACAATAGGTTCCTGAACCACTACGACTGTAATCCCTTCTTAAAGATTTACTGGGGTTAGCTACGATATGTAAATTATCAATATATAAAAAAATATTTACTTTTTATCTTATGAAGCAACTGAAATCTATTAATAGAAGGTCAAATAAACTATGAGGATGAAGTGTAGAAAGCTCAGCAGTGCACAGGAGCATTAAAGATTCTTAAGTTATTTAAATAATGATTTAGGATTGTGCGATGTCTACTTATTACGTGGCTCAATCTCTAAACTGTTATGAATCATTTTTGAATAGCAGCAAAGACTTGTCTCTAATGCTCAGTGCATGTTGGAAGTCTTTTAAACGGGAAAGGTCGATCTTTTAACTTTAATACATTGTTCTTTCATTGGCTGAGAATATAATAGGGGAGGGGGGAAGGGGAGGAACGTAGTTAGCGCAGTTCTTTAAGTCACACCCAGTCAAAGATCTTAGTGATTTTACTAGTTTGAACAATAATGCGAACTTATCATTACATAGGGTGATGGCAGTTTGAAGTCAGAATTCAACTGCCAGTGAATAGACTTTGTCTCTCTTCGGTAGACGTGTAGTTTATGTTTTCTATCCATTGTGTTTCATTGTATAAAATACCGTGGTCAATGATCATGGGAACTGCATTTTCATAATTTGTCACTTTAAAGAACGCATAATTCATTTCTTTCTAGAGCATTCCTTTTAGCATTCCAGTTTCGATATTACCTCGTGGCTATAAGCTTCCTACTTATGTACTACAAATTCATCTACTCACCTCTCTCATCTATTCTTCAACTTCTTAATGATTCATGCATTTTTTTGAAATTTCAAATAATTATAATAAATTAAATAAAATTGAGACTTTGGAACTGTTGAAAGCATTAGCCACATTCAGACAACATGTTTTAATTCAATGACCTTTCTCATTCTTCATGTTTGGTCAGCTTTCTATCATAAAAAAATGGAATAAATTTGATTATTACCTTGAGACATTGATTAACCAATTGCGTTAACAATGTTGCTAAAGAATATGGGTCCAGTATTTCAAAATTTTAAGGGTAACTTTTTTTCGTAGGTTTAATTATTCTTGGTCAAAGCTACGAATTCAGATTTACCTTTGCATTAGGAAAATGATAATTTGATTTTAATTAAATATGAAGTAAATTGCGTGTCTGCTAACACTGTCTGTGTGGTGAAATAGGGGAAAAAGTGTTCCCTATGATGTATTTTCAGAGAGCTTATACATATTAATATGATAATAAACAGAACATAACATAAAAAGCATTTGCTCTTGAAGGGAAACGAGACTTGTCAGCCATTTGCAAGGATAGTGTGATTAGTTTGACACTAAAACACTTGAGAATAAATGAAGTTTCAGCAATTAATAATTGAATTGCATTGGAAATTTTGTCATTCTAGGATTTTAAGATATTTTTTAGTGATATATATGTTTTCAACTAAATAGACGGCCTCTTCATAAACCTTTTTTTGTAAAGGTGTAAACAATTTCGGCCTGAAATAAATAAAAAATGATTGTGTTTCGGCAAGTTTATCGGTATTATAGTTTTGCATTAAGGGCAGAAAACACACATCAAGCATAATTGAATCTAGTTTCTCCTGCAAAAACTTAATATTGCAGCGAAATTGAATAAGTGATTCGATGATAAAATTTCATACTTTTTAAAGGAATATCAAATTTTCAAACTATCAGATGAATTTTAATTTCTCAGTGAGATTGGGATAGAAGAACGCAAGCTTCATTCATTAGAAAAAACCTAAATAGGCGTATCAACCGGGACTTTCTTAAAGGAAACAGCAAACAACCTGTCGAGGCCACATACTGTCACTGTCAAAGGCGACAAAAAAATAAACAAATATTTCTTAGAGCAAATTGTTCTTTGTGCATTAGAACATGATGAGTGTGAAAAATTAGGCCGTTTTTCAACGGAATAAATCAAATTTACAAACAGCTTATATTGATTATTTTAAAATTTTAATAAAGAAGACGAAAAAATTTCAACTTATGCATTTTTGGAACCTTGAGAACATTATACACCCCTATTATGAACCTAATTTTGAACTAAAATATGCAATGTAGCATAATAATAATTTTAATCAAGGTCTAATTTAATCATTTTGAACAATGATTGTCGCGATAACCGCTTCAATTTCTTCCAGTTTGAATATTAACCTGCAATTTTATTTTTATAAATGATTTTCAATTTTAACTTGAGGAAGAGTAAAAAATAAATAAAAAGCCACCAGGCTCAAAAATAGTATTTAGGTTAAATTTTTCGTAAAATATGCACTTGATTCCCACGTAAAGATAAGATCCCTCCAAATCGTTTCGAAAAAGGAAAAAAAACTCACTGACCTACTTCTTCAATTCATTTTATGCTAATTTTTAAACCCCCTATTTTATGAGGAAATCTAATATTGATAGCGAATTATCAAAATATTTGAAGTCGAAAACAAATGATGTGATGTCTTTATGAGTGATTTCGGATTTTGGCGTAGCAGACAAATATTACAATTCACCAGTTCAGATTTGATATTTTTCAGTCATACTGTTAAGGAGACAGATAAGCGATTTCACAAGCCATGAGTTCAATCAATATTTTTTTATGGCAAACCTTTTCTTGTTTTATTTAAACTTGCGTGGAGGTCGATTTAATTTATGCACTCAAACGACTCTTAGTCGCCCGTAGTATATAAGAATTATTAAATATATCTCGAAGGTTCCATAAGTCATTTGGGCTAACCTCACCTGCCATTCAGTAAATATTGTGCATTGGCTAAAAATTACGCTTGCAGTTAAATTTGTGAAGTGTTTTAAAGCTCAATTTATTCAAATTCATCAATACACCTACAGGCATTCAAATTAATTGTATGTTTAAGACACGATTAGTTCCTGAATGTATGTACGCCGGTCAACAAAGATTCAAACAAACATAAACCTATTCTGGGCATTCATTTGTTGATAAATTCATTCTCATTTTTAATATTATTATAGCTTATGTAATTGGTATTCCGCATAAGTACCAATATTGCTTTTTCAATGTTTTTATGCTTCTGAGAAATGGAATATCAACTTAGTGGTTATGATTTTATTTAATTAAGTATTGATTAGAGTGCATGATTACATTTTCTTGTTAGTCTTGTATTAATTTGTAATTATTTGATTATGACCTTTGTGATCAATATTGTTTTGTCTTGGTATTCTTTAAAAAATTCAGGAAAATAACAAGCATATTATAAACAGTACTTATAACTTCTTGTTTTTTCTGTGAAAAAATCATATTTTCAATAAAAAACTAAAGTAAATTACAAAGAAGTTAGGAGAAAACGAAGATAATTTGTCCATTGTGAAACAAATTAAATAAAACATTGATTAAAATCCGGCTTTTGCTAAAGCATGTCTGTGATTAGAATAATCAAAGCCAAACTTAGTTCCATGAAGCAGTTTCTTTAGATTTTTGTTTGCTCGTTTTAGTCTAAAATAGAAAAAAATGAAGTCTACTACTTTCTGTGACAATAATAAATGCTATCAATAGAAATAAAAACAATTTGTTGAAAATTGTGGTTAAATTTTTAGAATTAATTTGAAATAAACGGGATGAATAAATTACTTGAACATTTCCAAGTGAACTTCTGCCTGTTTGCAACTGGTACGTTTCTGAGGTGGGTTCGGGAGTAACCAACGAAACGTGAGCCTTAATAGAAGCTAAAGAAGGAATGCTCACCAACTCGTCAATGGAATCCGAAGATACCGTCTTAGAGATTTCTTTGTTAAGGCTTTTTCCTCGTCGGTTCATGATGTCAAATAAGATTTACACGTGGTCAAACACCCTCGTGTAATCACACGTGGTAATTTCATGAAATCCCTTAAATGCATTAAAATATTAACTAGAATTCAAGCGGATTCATTACAAAGTCCATAGAAGTTTGTACGGGATATGGACATATCATTTATTTCTTTTCCATAAAGATATAATCACAGATCGATGTGATTGGGTAAGTAAGCTCAGTGTTCCTGATTTTATGCGCTCGCAATAGCACACAGATTGAAAAATGACCTTTCGCATAGAGTGATTTTATCACAATGAAGTATGTAATTAACCAAGATGGAGCGATAGTGGTCTAACTCTATCGATACTTATATTTGTTTCAAATGACAGGCGTTATGATAATTATCATTAGCCCTTTAGCTGACTTCAGGCTTCACAGAGGGGAGGAACATTAAATTGGAAATAATTAGAGAGGTGGAACAGAAGAGTGATTCAGAGATGTAAAAG